AAACAAGTAGGAGCCTTGATCATAAAGCCACAGCAGAGATCTGGCCTTGTGTGGCCCCTATAGGGGCTTTGCAGGGTCCCGGGCAGGGCTTTGTGTGAAGCTGGCCCTGATTTGAGGGTTTCTAAGACCTGTGGTGCCATCTCATCTGTTCAACTCTGCCATCCGAGTGTTGAGAATATGTTAAACCAGCCCAAACGTATTTCCATAACATTTTATTAATGAAAATTGGCCCACTGACTACAGTTTTCTGACACACCCAATGGTTGTTTGTTTTTTTGTTTTGTTCTGTTTTGTTTTGGTTATTTGTAACTAATCAAAATGAAATTTAGGAAGTACCTAGTGTGGTGGCAAACACCTAATCCCAGATACTCAGGAGGCAGAGGTGGGAGGATCACGTGTAAGTGTAAATCTAGGATGGGCAATTTATTGAGATCACATCTCAAAAAGATGAGGAGAAGGAGGAGGAGAAGGATAAGAAACCAAAGAGGAGAGAAGAAAATAGAGGCTGGAGATTCAGGTTCAACCCACAGTACTGTAAAAGTCAGTTATCGCTCATCTGCCCCTGTGGAAGGAAAATGCAGATGGATGAGAAAAACATTATGAAAGATGGTGATGAGTAGAGTTTCTCTCCTGCCCTCCAGACCAAGCCCAGGCCGAGGCTGATCTCAGGGTCCTGCCCAGGGTACGAGGAATACTCCAGGCTCCGGGTTCTTCCCCAGCACTGGGAAAAAAAAACCCAAACTGAAGCAGCTGAACAAATGAAAAGCCCCCACTCTGCAGCCAAGTTCTGAACAAGTGGGACAGCGGAGGAGACCCGTGTGTGGGGAGGGGATGGGGGGGCCTGAGTGTCCCTGGGGGCCTGGAAGTGGCAGAGCGGGGCTGTCATCGGCTGTCTGGCGGGGCAGGGCAGAGGAAGGGGACAGGGCAGGCCGTCCTCTGGGTCAGAGCCCGGCTCAACGTGGAGGGTGGACTCAGCAGCTCTGCTTCTCAGTAGGGGACAGGGCACATTCCACAGTGGAGGAGGAGACTACGGCTGGGACACTTGTCGTAACTGGGTGATGGGTGCCCTGGAATCTGGTGGCGAGAGATCAGGAATCCTGCTATGCCAGGCAGGGCGGCTGCCGCACATGGGCAGATCCTGTCCCCTGCCAAGGCCCGGGCGGGAGACACCCGGTCGCCCTGTGCCTGCCCCGCACGCGTGACGGGGACTTTCCAGCTCCTGGACCGGAG